CCTGGCCAACTGACTTGAAGAGTTTCTATTTGTATCCATTCTAAAGAAAGGTGATCCAGCAGAATGTGGAAATTATCAAACAATATCATTAATATCACACACAAACAAAATTTTGCTGAAGATCATTCAAACGTGGTTGCAGCAGTACATCGACAGGGAACTGCCCAGAAATTCAAGCCGAATTCAGAAGAAGGCGTGGAACAAGGAACATCATTGCTGATATCAGATGGATCATGGCTGAAAGCAGAGAATACCAGAAAGATTTTTACCTGTGTTTTATTGACTATGCAAAGGCATTCAACTGTGTGGATCAGAACAAGTTATGGATAACATTGTGAAGAATGGGAATTCCAAGAACATTTAATTGTGCTCATGAGGAACCTGTACTTATACCAAGGTGTTTTCACTCATTCAAATAGAACAAGGGGATACTGTGTGGTTTAAAGTCAGGAAAAGTTTGTGTCAGGGTTGTATACTTTCACCATATTTATTCAATCTGTATGCTGAGCAAATAATCTGAGAAGCTGGACTAGATGAAGAAGAATGGGGCATCAGGATTGGAGGAAGACTCATTAACACTCTGTGATATGCAGATGACACCTTACTTGCTGAAAGTGAAGAGGACTGGAAGCACTCACTGATAAAGATCAAAGACCACAGTCTTCAGTATGGATTACAGGCCAACAAAAAGAAAACAAAAATCCTTACAACTGGACCAATAAGCAACATCAGGATAAATGGAGAAAATACTGAAACTGTAAAAGATTCATTTTACTTGGAGCCACAATCAACATCCATGGAAGCAACAGTCAAGAAATCAAAAGACACATGGCACTGGGCAAATCTGCTGCAAAAGATCTCTTCAGAATCTTGAAAAGAAAAGATGCCACTTTGAGGACTCAGGTGCACCTGACCCAAGCCATGGTGTTTTCAATCCCCTTATATGCATATGAAAGCTGGACAATGAATGAGGAAGGCCGAAGAAGAATTGATGCCTTTGAATTATGGTGTTGGTGAAGGATATTGAACATACCATGGACTGCCAAAAGAAAGGGCAAATCTGTCTCAGAAGAAATACAGCCAGAATGCTCCTTAGAATCAAGGATAATGAGACTTTGTCTCACATACTTTGGACGTGTTATCAGGAGGGGTCAGTGTCTGGAGAAGGACATTGTGCGTGGTAAAGTAGAGGGTCAGCTAAAAAGAAGAAGACCCTCAGTGAAATGGATTGACACAGTGGCTGCAGCAGTGGGCTCAAGCATGACAACAATTGTGAGGATGGTGCAGGACCAGGCAGTGTTTCGTTCTGTTGTACATAGTGTTGCTATAAGTCAGAACCGACTAGACGGTATCTAACAACAACAACATCACATTTATCACATATATCATTCCTTTTGTTTCTTCATGATATTGATCACAATTTGCCATTGTATGTATTTGTTGATGTCTCTCCACCCTTCCTACTAGACTGTAACTGCAGAAGGACAGAAATCAACCAATTCTTCTGTATTTTGTTGTCATGGTCTGTAAAACGTGTGCATGTGTGTTTTGAAAAGATGGATGGGGTGGCAATAAGATGGATAATTAGGGAGAAAGATGGAACTACATGATTTCAAAGGATCCAGTTCAAAAATTCTACAATGCAATGAAAAAATGATTAAATACCTACTATATGAAAGGTACTAGCTCCAATGATGAGGATTTTAGACTGAGTAGGAGAAGGTAGTCAAATCACGGGGAAAGTGAGGGGTAGCATTTGGAGCGGGGCTGGCTTTGGTTACTTTCAGATGACGACAGTGGTTGCTGAGCTCCGAGGTCATGATTTGGCTGACTTAGATGGCGTCATGTTGAATAGAATGTTAAGAAGCAATTTCTATTGTTAAAAACAGGAGAAAAGTGGTACCTGAGTCTCAAACCGGGAATAAATGGAAATACACTAAGCTAAATAATTACTGCTAAGTGAATAAATTGCAACAGTACTGCTCACCAAAATGCACTGTACATAAACATTAAGAAGGGAAAGTGAGCGTAATTACATTTAAAATTAGATTTTGGAGTTAAAGTTCCTAATTTCATTCACCTAAATATTGAAATTATTGATAGTTATGGTACATTTCTATGTCAAACAGAAATAGATACCATCAGACTGGCTGAAATGAAAATGCACGCGTGTTACCCTGTGAATGTCAGAAAGAAATTCATGCCAATTATGAAAACCAAAACTAAACTCATTGCCATCGAGCTGATTCTGACTCATGGTGACCCCATGTGTTACAGAGCAGAACTGCTCCATAGGGTTTTCTTGGCTGTAATTTTTACAAAAGTAGGTTGCCAGGCCTTTCTTCTGTGGTGCTTTACGTTAGCAGATGAGTGTAAACCCTTTGTGCCACCCAGGGACATCAGTTATGAATAGGGACATTTTTCTGAATAGCAGTTTGATTTGAAAACCATGTCAGGAATTCCTGAGGACTTTTCTCAAGTATGTGGGCTCGAAGAAATTTCTAGAATGTCTTACACTTGCAAATTTTAAGGACAAAAGATTGACTGAGTCTCTGAATGTGCCCTTGCCTGTCTCTCCAGGCAAAGACTTGGTCAATACAAGAGTTGATTATTTGCAACGCCTTTTTGATAATCATATTCTTAGTGCTAATTTGGAATTTCTACATTCCGTTCCCAGAAGTAGCATATTAGTAGCAGAGGTCTGTAGTAAAAGCTTTCTGTCCTGAATAGGTTAGACATTTGATAGTGTGGGTCCTTTTTGATAACTGTTGTCTGAGACTGATTTTTTTTTTTTCTCTCTTATTCTGCATGTTGGTGGATGGCAAAATAAATCAACCTTCATTAGAAATATTTAAAGAATGACCTATGGGAGACTTTCCATCATATAATATCTTTCTAGCCTGCTGGGACCGTCAGATATTTAGCTGCTTTGCTTAGCTCAATAAATCACTTAATGTAACAAGCACAGTGCTGAGATGCATCAAATAATTTTTTTAAATTAAACAGATAAAATATAGATACTGGAGGTTATATAGTTCTCTAAAGAGATAACTTGACCTTCGTCAACAAGGAATTTACTTTTAGAAAGTACTTTGGATGATAGATGATTGATCATTTTGATATAACCACATTTAGGTTATTATTATAAATTAAGTAGAAGTAAGCATGATCATCAGAAAAATTTATTTCTAATTTTACTTTTTTCAGGTTATGCTATTTATAGTGTATAGTTTTCACGGCATCTGACCTTTTTAAAAAATATTTCTTTTCCTGTTCTCTGCAAGGAACCAAATAGCAAATACGGAGTTTATCCTAACTGTCTCTTACCTAATTTTACAAGGACATATTTCTCTTAAAAGCATTGTGTGTGATGGTAATTATTTTTCATGTAAATGATAGAAAATAATTTCAAGAAGGATTCAGCTTGGAAAGTTTGCAGAAAGTTTCTGAGAACGCATTATCTTCTGTGTTATTCAGCGTGCCCTTAAAATCCATTTTCTTTTTTGTGTTCTCTGTTCTCTTAGTAGTTTCTCCTTCTTCATGCTGGAGTTGAGGAGTCCGCTAAATGTCTTCTGGGCTCCTGACCTCGGAGTCATCTTTGGCTCATCTCTGCCTCATCTCTCGCTCATGCCTGCTCACAAAGTTGAACTGTTTGCTTTCAAGCACGTTAACCCCAGCCCCTTCCTCCGCATTCCCTTTCTTCTTCACTGTTGACTCTCAGTTTTTTGCACTTGAAAGACTGTGGCAATCTGCATCTGTCTTAGTCATCTAGTGCTGCTATAACAGAAACACCACAAGTGGATGGCTTTTACAAAGAGAAGTTTATTTTCTCATAGTCTAGTAGGCTTCAAGTCCAAATTCAGGGCATCAGCTCCAGGAGAAGGCTTTCTCCCTCCATTAGCTCTGGAGGAAGGTCCTTGCCATCAGTCTTCCCTTGGTCAGGGAGCATCTCAGAGCAGGAACCTCAGGTCCAAAAGACGCGCTCTGCTCCTGGCACTGCTTTCTTGGTGGTTTGAAGTTCCCATGTGTCTCTGCTCACTTCCTTCTTTTATATCTCAAAAGAGATTGGCTACTGTCTAATCTTGTAGACCTCATTAGTATAACTGCCGCTAATCCATCTTATTACATCATAGTGATAGAGTTTACAACACATAAGGAAATCACATCAGATTACAAAATGGTGCACAATCATACAATACTGGGAATCATGACCCAGCCAAGTTGACAGATATTTTGGAGGGACACAGTTCAATCCATGACACCATCTTACTTTGATTTCTCACCCTCCCCAATGTTTCCCAACCTGCACTCTCCGGCACCCTCTGTAAACCTGTGCCTGAGACTCTGGCTGCAGCTGGTCTGTCTCCCTCCATACTGAGGACTCTGGATCCTCATTCACCTAGGACAGTGCCTGGCACATAGTAGGTGCTCAGCAAATGCCTGTTACTTGGACCTGCCCCGCATATTACCTTATTTATGGCTCATTTATATACCACTGGAGTCCTTCAAGACCCTCTTGATTTTATAATGTTTACTAACTGCATAAATGGAATAAAACTCAGAGGATCAAATTTCTTTTAACTGCATTCTAACTCGCTTTAAGAAGTACCTTGGTCAATAGCAGTGGGTGGTTAGATTGGGACCTTGTGCCGTGACATAGCAATGAAGGTAGCATCAGGAAGAGTATGTTTTAGAGTACTGATTTGTAAAAATGGAATCATACCAATTACACTATTATGAGACAGCTTAAAACAAAAAAACAAAGCGAAACAAAAAACCTGGAATATTGCCAGTAAGACGTTTTCACATGACCTGTGTGTGTCCTATTTAGTTTGGGATTTTAGAGGAGAATTGAATGGCCTCTGAACTGGCAGGTCTATTTTCTGAGCTGAAATAAACAGGTAATTATTTTCTCGGGGAATGTGCAAGTGTAGCCTCTCTGGGTTGTGTCATCCTGATGGGCATGTAATAAAATGGATGTTTCTTCTTTTCCTTTTAAGGGAAGCCATCAGCCGTGTTTGCGAAGCTGTAACTGGTGCCAAAGGAGCCTTCAAGAAAAGGAAGGTACTGTCCTCGCTGCTTTGCATCTAACCACACCTCTTTCTTTACCTTTGTTCAACTTCACTCTCATCTCACCTCCCAGTATCTTTAATCTCCACAAATCGTCCACTTTCTCCTTTTTATGGCCTGGCTCTCATCACTTTTGAAAACAAAAAGAGCGTTGATTCTTTTCTTTCCCACACATGTAGTGAGGTCAGTTAGCTGTCACAGCCAACAAGAGACCCTAGCAACTCACTGAGGGCTTCAGCTCTAAAGATGGTGATAACTATGCACGCTGGAAACATGACAGGTATTCTTTTAAGCACTTTCTGTACATTAATTCACTCAATTTTTACACTCTTCATGGTAGATATCCTCAGTGGTAGGCTGGTAAACTTTTAGCCACCAACCCTCAGGATTGGGAGGGCGTTGGTGAGAAGCATTGATTTGTAGCATCTGCCAATTTCTGTGGTGTAAATATTTTCACCATGGCTGGTTTCAAGCTATCAGCAGGATGTCGCTGAAAATGGAGCTGGGCAGAGATGTGCACTAGCACATCCTTATATTGTATTTGCACCAATAGGCATAACCTTAAAAGCATAGTACAGTGTAGTAAAATAATTAGGAAGTGACTGATTTATTTAACTATACGTTTACACAAATTAATTTGTAACAACCGGCTCACAAATTTCTTAAAAATTTAACAGTTGACTTTCATGAGCTGGTACAAGCCTCTCTCAAACACCACTGGATACCCTTATTTTACAGATGATAAAAGCTGAGGTAGAGAGATGAGAACCCACAGGCCCAGGCCGCCTGATGCCAAAGGCTGTGTGTTCAACCCCTGTACTGGACCTTTTCATTCCAAAGAAGGTTAGGTCAGAAGGGAAGGGAAAAAACAAACAAACAAACCCGGACTAAAAGAAAGCACAGAAAAACTTTTAGTTAATTATCTAGTGAATACATAACTAAACATCCCAAATCAAGATTCTTCTCTGCCTAGACAGAGTGTGGGGAAAACCTCAGAGATTCAGAATATCTGTGAATCTGTTCTCAGGCAGAGTGCTCTTAATTTCAGATCATGTGAGCAGGTCTTGTGCTCACCTCAGCTATTCCCAGGGCTCTGGGTTGGTTCTGCCTTTGTAGCTGGGGGAGATTTATAAACCCACAGGGCAACTGGACATCAGGCAGAGAACTCTGGGTGAAGGCTCAACCAGGCTGGCCTGTCATATGGTCAACCCCCGAAGGCTATCTGGAGTTGCTATGAGTTGCAATTGACTTGACAGCAATGGGTTTTTAGCAAGGCTCCAGAATCTTGAATACAGGACATAGGAAGACATCTGAGAGCAGCGACAGGGACTGTCATCAACTCCAACCGGCACATGTTGGTTCTCATAGTGAAGGAGATGGAAACAATGCAGATTTCTGGGCTGCACCACAGACATCAAAATTTCAGGGGTGGAGCCCAGTCATCTCTGTTTTTAAATGGCTCAGCAGGTGATTCAAAACCAGTGCACGTCTTGTTAAGAAATAGTGGTGATTAGCATATCAGAAGAGAGGATGTTCTTATCCAAAAAGAGAGGATGGGTTGGTAATGCACAGAGACAAATGTTGGCAGTGCCCACCCAGGTACACTGGAGAAGGTGCCTGGCCTGATAGGATGATCATTAGAGTCAGACCAGGTCTGCCTGTCCTTGTGCTGGCTCTAGGCCCATTGATTCTAACTGGACTGTCCATGTGAGCGCTGGTCTGGGGAGAATGTTCTGGCCAAAGATTGGGATTGAGTCCCTTCAGCAATGTGCGTTCTCATGACTTTCTGTTACTACTCACAAGTCCCACGAGCTAATTCATTTAGTCTGCCCCGGAGAAGTGGTTTGGCTCTTGGTGTGATGAAAACCAGGCTTCTGAGTCTGCAAAGCTGAGGGCTTATGGGGTGCTCCCTGATGAGGAGAGGGCTGGCTGAGGCACACTCCGAAGTGGCCAGAGGCAGCCTGGAGCAAGAGTCCTCATTCATCACTTACGTATTAGCTTATCCATTTGCATATTACATGTTTCCTAATCTGCATATTGGTATTGGATCCCAGCCTTTCAGCTAATTCACTAGCACATTTACGTTCAAGAGCCTAATGAGGGGAAAGGGTCAAGGCTTAGGAGTGCAGAGACTTTGTGGGCAGATACTAGCATCACCACCCTTTTAGACATGAACAACAGAGGCTTCCCTGGACTGTGTGGCCTCCAGTAAAAAAAAAGCTAAAATCCTGCTGCTTGATTTCACAGCCTCCAAGCAAAATGTTGTCCAGCATCTTGGGAAAGAGCAACCTCCAGTTCGCAGGGATGAGTATCTCTCTCACCATTTCCACCACCAGCCTGAATCTGCGGACACCTGACTCCAAACAGGTCTGTAGGTGCTAGGCCTCGTGGTCCCAACTGAGTCCCCTGGGAAGGATGGGTTTCTCCAGGGCTCCTAGTCCGAGTTTAACTGAGTCCATGTGGTACACACGTGTGTGAACTCTTTCCTAGTCTATAAACCTTTGATTGGCTCACTTGGGATCATCACCAACAGAGTGATAGATAAAACTGATTCACTTTAATTCTGCTGTAAAGTATTATTTTTTTCTAGGATAATGCATGAAATCATTGGTTTACGTGGAATGTAAAACAGAGGGGTACGCATGTGTGGAACCCTCCTTCTAATGCCCTTGTCTCTGTTTTGTTTTCCTTTAAACCATATTTCATTGATTCCATGACCCCACATTTGATTTTCAAACTTTGTCATCCTTGAAATGGATGGCATGTCGTGGTTTGATTGACAGTGTTTTTTCTTCCCTGATGGTTCATAACAATGGAGCGTCCTGTTATTGATAGTGTTTTAGGGATGATGAAACATGACGTATCTATTGCATGCCCAGCCTGGAATGAATTCTGAGCAGACCGAGGGGATACAGCCACAACGTTTATGAAGGCTAATTCCATTTAGGAGGAGGAAATTCCTGTGCAGTGCTTATATTTCAGGTTTCTCTGATCATTTGCTTCTTCAGCTGGAAAATGGGTATATGAGTAGCTGTCTTGGCTACCAACAAGGCAGTGCTGAAGGTCAAATGAGGGAATGGCAGTGAAAATGCTTGTTAAATATAAAGAGGGAGAGGTGAATGGGATCATCCTTCACCTGTTCTGCTCAGCCTCAGCCTTGTTGCTGGCAGTGTGAGTTGGAAATAGGATGTGTCCACACAGAAGGAAGATGGACAATCCACAGACCTCTGCATGACATACTTCCTGGTTCTTACAGGTAATGTATTTTACCAGGAATGCCCATAGTTACCTTTATATTAGTATCTCTGTCATCTATGTTTGTATCTATACCTATTATATCTCTCTCTGTTCAACCAAGCTCTTAGAGCTCTTAACCACTGCACCACCAGAGCTTCATGTCTATTTTACCTATCTTTATTATATCTATCTCTGTTATTTATGTTTTTATTATTGATTTTCGTATTCCCCAGATAAGCAAGCAGCACTTCCAGCTTCATTTACCCCTCCTTGATGTTGAAGTAAATTCTCGATCCAGAGTAGAAATGAGAGACCAAGTTAAGGCTTTGAACAACACTGGATACCACTTCTTGCTGCATTCGTTTGTCCTTATCGATCCATCATCCCTTGTCTTTTCACACTGGCCCCTTTAACAGCTGTGCTAACACAACATTTAGGTTGTGGATTAAGAATGACCAGCAGGTCTCACCTTTCTCTGGCACTGTCTCAAGGCTCAGCGTCAGTGACTGCTGCAGGATTGCAGATGCACATGTGGTGTTTACTGACTTACAGGGTCACTTAACATTTACACCCATGTCCGTTCTTTTCTGTATGGGTGTTGGACCTTTTATTTCTGGGACTCCTCAGAACACAGCTCTTGATTCTTTGGGATCTTCTCTTCCAATTTCTCCTTTTATCTTATTCTCCACCTCCAAAAAATCAGATGACAAGCACTCACGAACAGCAGCTGATGAGGAGGCCGAGGCAGTTGACCCTGCTCCATTCTGGGGCATGGAGGGCTCTGAGGGGCATGCTGGGGCGGGTCCAATTCACATTTCCTCCCTTGGTTTAGGTGGATGGAAGTGAGTGCTGGGCTCAGGTCCCTGAGTGATACCATGAGCAAGTCTGGGGGTTGGGTGGGTGGGTGGGTGGGTGCTGGCAGAATCCACAGCATTAGGGGCAGATTATCCAATAGACAGGGTAAACAAGGAGCTTACCGTGCTTACTAGCTTATCTGTAGTGAATAATTTCACATCTTTGATGTGGTGAAACCCATGTGAAATTGTTCACTACAGGTTAGTAACTAAGCACAAGTAAACCCTTGCTTACCTTGCTTACTGGGTCATCCACCCCTGTCAGGGACTGTAAATTTGAAAAGAGGCTTTGATTTTGTAGGAAGGAGCTATGGGGTTGGGGAAGAGACAGAGACTAGCCACACCTAGAAGCAGAATGTTTGATGTGGTGAAAAAATGTGAAACTGTTCACTACAGATGATCTGGTAAGCAAGGTGAGTACTGTGCTTACCGTGCCTACTGGGTGATCTGCCCCTGCACAGCATACATCTCTCTGGCTGTCCTGAGACGGGCTGAGGCTGGGCCGCTCTTCTCACTCCAAAGAGACAGGAGAGGCGCTCGGCTGGTCTACAGATGGCCGGTCCTGGCAGATGCTCTTTATGGAGTTCTCAAGTAGACGCAACACCCTCAGAGCAGAAACACGCGCTTTAGATGAAATTGCTTTAATTTTCTTATCCCCATTTCAGTGTCTGTCTTAATACAGTCACACAATAAGGCATGCATCTTGCTGGTCAAATATGATTTTGACTTTTTCTCCAAATCATAGTCCACACTTTGATTTCCAGACTCCAGTTTTAGTGCTTGATTATAAGAAAAAAGTAAATATTCTTTGGAAGCCCTAGATTATCATGACTTGGCAATCACCATTTCTTCACCATTGTCTTAGGAACCCTGAACCCCTGGAGCTGAGGCAGGCTCAGAGGATGGTGTGAAGGTCAGCTCTTAATGTAACTCCGCTCAGCTTGGGCACAGGTTACAGAACCCGTCTTGTTGTTTTAGATTCCTTGGTATTTTTCTGTTTTTCTAGATTCTTAAAATTTTCAAGTGCCAGCAACTGAAATAGGCATTTAAAAATATTTATTTTATTGCATAATTCAATTATAGTTGTATTTAGAGTTTTTTAGGGGCATGGTTGAAAAACTCACATGGATGGTAGGATTGCAGCTGTGTGAATTCTGACTGCCTGCCACAAGGGCCTGAGGGGTGGGGGTGGTCTGCAGAAATAACGTTGGCTATGTTGGAATGGCCACATGCACTCTCTTCCCACCCCGTGAAACCTACTTCAATGTCATTACATTGTCTCCCAAAAGATAAAAATAGCCTGGAAGACTTATGTAGCTTTTTAAATTTAGGGCAGCTTCTAATTTACTTAGTGTCTCTACTAAATTCTATTGTATGCTGCAGGTTATAATGCTAATGGAAATTTCCTTTTTAAAAATTAACTTGGAAGGCCCTTCCTGGTTATAAAATTGATAAATAGAAAGAGTGCCTTAGATGGTACCAGTGTTAAATCTTGGATGCAGGCTTTCTAATTTATATGCACATGGTAAAAATGGGATGAAGAGGGGGCAGGCCACACTTCCCCATTCTAGCTATAGGCCTGTATTGGAGATGCTACAAACTACACAGTTAAATGTTTTGGTACGTGGCTGAGACTTTCTCCTTCTTGAAGAGGCTGAGTTGTTGAGACCATGTCTTCAAGTTGGACTCCCCGTGTTTGCTCACAGCTCTGCCAGTCACTAGCTGTAGCACTTGGGGCAAGCCACATGGCCCCTCTGGGCCTCGGGTTCCTCATCTGTAGAATGGGGATTATAATATTCCTGTATCACAGGGTTGTCGTGAGGCATAAATGAGATAATTCTGGCACAGCAGCTCAGTAAGCCCCTGCCATGGGGTGAAAGTTCATTACATTACCCTGTTGTCATTAATAATTCATATTTTTATGTGGGCCCCCATTTTACCAAACCTTGTTGATGCACATTTTCTGCCAACAAATAGTGGGCTTTCCTGGTAAGAGTACTAACGGCACATCTGTTTCTTGTCTTGGCCCTGGCAGATCATTGCGAACCATCACATGCAGTCCATCTCCTTTGCCTCCGGAGGAGACCCGGTAAGTGCTCCACAGCTGTTTTTTGTTTTTTTTTTTTCTACTCCTGTGGGGAATTTCTGAGAAAAGACCCCTGCTTCAAAAGTGTGCCTTTTAGGACACGACCAAGAAAGTTAACTGTGATGATCATTTCTCCCCCTCCTGGTTTCATAAGCTCTTGACTATAATTTTTTTCAGGGGTAAGCCATAACAAGGACCTACCATTACTCTTCACTTCATTAGTCAAACAATGTCAGAAATCCTTGAGCATTGCCCTTCTGAAAAGGTAATGCAATAGAATCTCCGTTTTTCAGAGTTCCCAGGGCATTCTCATATCTTGACTCTATGCCTGCCTCACTTTCTTTTTTTTCTGCTGGATCTCCACTAGGATCCTCCATTTTTATATTCTAAGTCTACTTCTAGGCTGTGAATTTACTTCATTTGGCTTATTCATAAGTATTTAAATACTGGTGTTTTTTCTCTCCAAATTTGACTTTGTCGTCTTTCGACTCCGATGTGATGTCAGCATTCACTATCAGTGGCTCTATCTCTAGGCTATAAGGTTGTGAAAGGCGGGGTCATGTCCACACACTAACTGCCTATTCGCTGTTGTCAGTCCACCCCTTTAAAAGAAACCCTTGTAGGAAATCATTCACAAGGGGACAAGGTACAGAGGGAGTAGGGAGGAAAAGAAAGTCAGCCCTCTCCAGCAGTCAAGGGGAGAAAGGTTCACCTCCAAGAATGTTATATTCATTTTACATTGGTCTGAGTAAAGTTTTTACCAGTCCAGGAAAATATTTAAAAATTAGGAAAACAGAGTGAGTTTTTCATGGAGCTAAATTTATTCAATTAATAATTTGTTCCATATCCAGGAAGATGTCCTTTTTACTTTTTGGAGTTAAGTAGCTTTTTTGTAATGAAATAATGATGGTTTACAGATGGCTTTTTGTTTTGCAAAATTATCAGTAGGCAATCCTCCAATTTTACTTAGAAGTTTAATGGCCAGACACAGCCTGAGTAATCAGTGCTTTATATTACTCCTTATTTCAAAATCAGGAACCCTGTTTATCTCTAGTCCCAGGAAAGGAAATTTCCCATGCCCTTTTTTCTATCTCATTTACTGTTCCTCCCATACTTCTTCTACCTGGCTAGCCTGATTATAGAACTGCTGTTGGCACATTGAAAGCCAAACAAAGAGAGAGATTTCAGCTGCAGGCTCCAGAGCCTGTGCCTTTCCAAAGGAGATTGTCTTACCTATGAGTGAAGATACAAAGAGCTAGAAAACAAGAAGCCGCATACACTGGCTTGTTTCAGAATTATTTCCTTCTCCAAGATACCCACAGGTCTATGACCTTCTTTCAAATTTCCTCATCACCTCATCATTAAAAAAAAATAACAATTGGAAGCATTCAGTGACAGTTAAAGTAATCCATAACTTTCAATATAGTTTCTGTTACTACAGAAAATTTCATGGTACCAGGAGGCAAGAAGCTTGATTACTTTCCATTTTAACCAGTCCATATGTATATTACATTGTACATGAGTTCCCATTCCAAATTGGTTTGTGACCACAAAATTAACACATTGCAGTTGGTAGATGTTTTAATAAAACCATATATTCTAGGTTCTAGTCCTTCTGCTGCTAAGTGTATATGTCACTTATTGCTTAGTGCCTTAGTTTAGCTGATGGGGAAGTGATATTTTGAAATGTCAAATAAGACAGACTAGAGAACACTATTAATCCCTCCCTTCAAAAAGCACACTATAATTACAGTAAATTATTATTAGATCTACGTAATTAGACCATTAGCAATGTTAAAAGATTAGCAAAAGAATGCTGGGACAATGGTCAAGGCTCAGAGGATCTTGGGTAGTGAAAGCAGGAGTAGATCAAGTATAGAACAGGCAGTTTGTAGCCCCCATCTTTGAAACCTAGTAAACTCATTGTGTGACAGGGTGATGACAAGAACATTGACAGCAATATATATACTCCCCCACTCTGCTAGAAAAGGATTAATACTGGCATCAGAAAAGCTACAAATTTTCAGTTCTGGCTGGGCCACTGACCATCTGAGTGACAGGGACACTCACTTCTCTTTCTGGGCCTCATCCCCTAGCCGCAACATGGGGGTTTGGAACAAGAGAAGAGTTTCTCTGACCAGAGTGAAAATCTAAAAAGAATCTCCTTGCGTACGCCTCTAACATTGATTCAAATTAATAATGCCACTCAATTACGTAGAAAAATAAACTATGCATGACTCCTTATGTTTATACTTTTTAAGGAACTGTAAAAAAATATCACCAAACGCTTTACCATTGAGTTGATTCTGACTCATAGCAGCCCTATAGGACAGAGTAGAACTGCCCCATAGGGTTTCTAAGGAAAGGCTGGTGGATTGGAATCACCGACCTTTTGGTTAGCAGCTAGCTCTTAAGCCACTGAGCTACCAGGGTGGAAATTAAAGACAAATAAATACTGTAAAGTAATAACATTCAAAGTAACATTAATTTACTGTGATGGATAACATTTTGCTGAAACTAAATCTCTTCTCCCTATGTGACCCTGAAGCTGGTCACCATGGAGCAAAATCTTTTGAGTTCAGCATCTCTCTACTACCATGTAAGCCCAGAAGACTCAATTCTTCCACTCATTTCTCCTATTCAAGCAAAAACTTCAATAGTACATCATGTACAAGTTTGACATCAATTTGCTTTAAGTGGGGGCGAAGACATCTAGCCTGTCTGCTCTTTTCTGTCTAATTTTTTAAAAACCTGGCACCAATAATGTTGGAATCCCAAATGCAAATTCTGACACTGAAATTGCCTACAGAACTTGGTGACACAGTGATCATCCAGATGATCCTCGATATTCTTGTATTAATTTTTAAGATTATCATAGAAATGAAAACACAAAATTAAACAAAAAAAAAAACAAAAAACAAAAAGCAACCTCTGGTAACATCTCAAACACTGGAGAATACAGCTGCCCAATCCTAGGCTTCATGGATCTCAGTTTGAGAACACTGGACTAGATGCTGTCTGAGGACCCTTCTGCTATTGAAAACCAAAAACCGAACCAGTTGCTGTTGAGTCAACTCTGACTCATGGTAATCCCATGAGTGTCAGAGTAGAACTGTGGTCCATAGGGTTTACAGTGGCTGATTTTTCAGAAGTAGATCACCAGACCTTTCTTCCAAAGCATCTCTGAGTGAACTGGAACCATCAGCCTTTTGGTTATCAGCAGAGCATGTTAACGGTTTGTACCATCCAGGTACTCCTTCTGACATCAACATCTCATGAATCCAGAAAGAGTCTGTATGGTTTCGAGTTCTAGTGCTTATTTTTGCCAATAGCTTCAGCTTCTGACCGATCTTCCTTGAAGCCAGGTCTTCTGCTCTCTTTCCAAAGTCACTCTGTGACTATACCAAAAACCATGGTCCAAGCAGGAAGAGGAAGGAGCTAGATGAGCCTCATCTTGGAGAATGACCAGGTGAATCCCGTTATCTTGCAATCTTCTGGAAGTCTTCTCCTCCTCCTGTTTAATTCTGTTGGGTTGTTGTGATTTCCAGGGGAAGTGATTTACAGGAAAGTTCCTCGTACTGTGCACTAGCCTGTGGTAGGTGTTCAATAACTGTTACATGCTCTCTCTGCTCTCACTTGCTCCCTCTGTCCCTCTCTCATTTGGGTTTTTTTCTAAGGCCCTGTAGAGAGAAAAGGAGATCTTTCCTCATCCATAGAGACTAACACCAAGGAACTTGCTACATAGAATCCTTTTAGATGCTGAAGACATCGGCAGCTCGAGTAGCAGTAACGTTTGAGAAATATCTGAAAAAATGAGGTAGCCCTTTACCAGTGGCCCCCCTGAGACTCTTTTGAATGTTGAAAATATCAGCTTTGCAGGGAAGTCTTTTTGCCTTAAAGGATTAAGAGAATTACTGGTTCCTCTAATTATTTGTTTAGAAACTAAAATTCACATGGCTGCCTCAGCACACTCTTGAGGTCACATATTCCTCCGTTGCACTGATTAGATGAAAGGACAGGCTAGAGGACTCATGTTTGATGTGGGCTGGTGAGACTCTTAGATAGAATGATTATTTTTGAAACATCTTAAATGATGAAAGTAACTACTTATGTCCAAGAAGAAAAGAACCCTCCCATCTCATCCATCCTTGAAGTGTGTTTGCCACCAAACTCTGCAGATCCGCTTCTGATTTTCCTCTAGACCAGTGGTTCTCAAGTGGGGTTCCCAGACCAGCAGCAGCAGCATCACCTGGGAACTTGTCAAAAGTGCAGATTTTAAATCTCACCCCAGGTCTACTGAGGAAACTGTTTGGTGGGCCCAGTAATCTGTTTTAACAAACCCTACAGGGGATTATGGCACCAGTCGTATTTTGAGGACCACTGTTCTAGACACAAGGTCTTGGGTGGCACAATCAAGCAGTTAACACTCAACTATTAACATAAAGGTTGACAGTTTGAACCCACCCAGCAGTGGTGTGGAAGAAAGGCCTGGAGATCTGTTTCCATAAAAGATTACAGCCAAAAAACTATGGAGCAGTTCCACTCTGCAACACCTGGGGTTACCATGAGTCAGAATGACTCCATGGCAAGGGGTTTGCTTTTTGGTTTTGTTCTAGACAGAGGAGTCCCTGGGTGGTGCAAACAGTTAAGTGCTTGGCTGTTAACTGAAAGGTTGGTAATTTGAACCCACCCAAAGGTGCCTCAGAAGAAAGGCCTGGTGATCTTCTTCCAAAGGTCACAACCAAGAAAACACTATGGAGCCCAGTTCTACTCTGCAACGCATGGGGTTGCCATAAGTCAGAATGTCTTGGATAACGACTGTTTTCTCCCCGTTTGGTTCAAGACAGAGCTAGCAGCAGTTGTTCTCAACCTTGGCTCACGTTACAGTCATCTGGGGACCTTCTAGAAAATCCTGATGCCCAGGATCAATTACATCAGATTATGTGGGAGTTGGGACTTGAGGGTGATTCCAACGTGCAGCCAGTGGGAGAAGTGGTGGCTATCATCCTTGCTTCTCAAAGTGTGGTCCACGGATCAGCAACATCAGCATCACGTGGAGCTAGTTAAAAATGTAGACCCTCAGGCTGGCTCCTGACCTACTGAATCCGAGTCTGCATTTCGTCAAGACCCCCAGTGATTCCTGCCCACACTACAGTCTGAGAAATGCTGTCTCACATGGGCTGTTACTTAATAGCATTTGGTTATTTAGTTGTGTGAGGATTGAGTCCTCAGAAGCTTACTGGTGTGTGGACTGGGTCTCTCTCTCTCACTTGTGATTAGTGATGTGGATGTCTCATTTTTCTTTAACAGGACACAACAGACTATGTTGCCTATGTAGCTAAAGACCCTGTTAATCGCAGAGGTAAGCAATACTTGACCTTTCTAATCTCTCATTTGCATGTTGCCAGGCTTAACACTATGTACCAGGTGTTCCTTATTATCTCGGCCCGTCCAACAACATGAGCACGTGTCACAGGGTGTTACTAATGGTAACTGAGGTTTGCAGGCAGTCAAGTGCACCAGCTCACCTGCCTGGGTCAGGAGATGCTGGACTCTGAGTTTCAAATGCACACCTGTGTCCTTGGCCACAGTTGGTACACCTGACCTACACACTAGCAGCTTCACCCAGACTCTGAAAGTGGCCTTGGTTTCACCAGGAAGTCTCTACAAACCCCTAGTCCTCTTGCCAGCTCCACCTCCTTGTCTGTGCCCACTGCCAACCATGCCACCCCAGAAGCCTTCCCTGCCCTGCCCAGCCTGAAAGGCCAGAGTCCAAGCTCAGGGTGCTGTCTCCAGACACCTCAAAGCCTCTAGGGCCTTAAGCCTGGCATGGGTAGGGCATTCGAAGCTTTCAAGTACTTTCCATTCTCATGGACCCTTTTCCTCTAGTCCCCCCTAACGCCTACCATCCAATTTCTTTTACTCTTTACGAAACAAAATCCCATCCTTTGGAATGTAGGCAACAACCCGGTGGTGGGAGGGGCTGGCTAAGGATGTGCTGACCCTTGAATGAGGGGGCAGTGGTGGTTCAGTGGTAGAATACCGTCCTTCCCTGCGGGAGACCCGGGATCCATTGCCAGCCAATGCACCTAAGGTGCAGTCACTACCCACCTCTCAGTGGAGGTTTGTATGTTGCTGTGGTGCTGAACAGGTTTCAGTGGAGCTTCCAGACTAAGATGACCTAGGAAGAAAGTCCTGACAATCTATTTCCAAAAAATCAGCCGAAGAAAACCCTATGGATCACAATGGTTTGATCTGCAACCAATCAACAGGATGACGTAGGACTAGGCAGCATTTTGTTTCATTGTGCATGGGGTCACCATGAGTTGGGGGCCAACTTGATAGCAGCTAACAAATAACATATCCTTGAATGAGAGTCCCTGGGTGGTGCAAAGAGTTAATGTGGCTGCTAGTTGAAATGTTGGAGATTCGAGTCCATCCAGAGATGCTGTGAGAGAAAGACCTGGTAATCTACTTCTGGAAAAAAAATCCCATGGAGCACAGTTCTACTCTGACACACATGGGGTCATAATGAGTCAGAATTAACCTGACAGCAACTGTTTTTTTAAACCCTTGAATAACAGACAACCTCTGAGCCAACATACCACAATTCCAATTCAAAACTCATTTACAAAAACCATAAATGGAATTTGTAACAATGCAAAACAATGCTTACTTCCACTGCTAGGTCCTCTACTCCTCCCACCCCATGCCTCAAGTAACAACTGTTAAGATTTTCTAGTGTGCCTTGCAGAATTTTTTATCCATATCTATATACATATATGTTCTCTTCCCCTTTTTAAATTTCAATACAGATGAGATATTAACATTCTGCTCTGATACCCTTTGCCCCAACACTATATCTTTGATGTATTTTCAACACAGCTCATGCAGAATGGATCAACTGATCCATGAGGTGGCTCTACCAGAAGTCAGCCACAGCCCTCTCTGGCCGCCTCTGCGGAACGATGTGCTCATCATACTGTTCCTACCTAGGGAGCTGCAGGTTATGCCTAAGGAGATGTCTTAGTCATCTAGTGCTGCTATAACAGAAATACCACACGTGGATGGCTTTAACAAAGAGAAATTTATTCTCTCACAGTCTAGTAGGCTACAAGTCCAAATTTAGGGCACCAGCTCCTGGGGAAGGCCTTCTTTCTCTGTCGGTTCTGGAGGAAGGCCCTTGTCATCCGTCTTCCCTTGGTCTGGAAACATCTCAGCGCAGGAACCTCAGATCCAAAGAATGCACTCTGCCCCCAGTGTTGCTTTCTTGGTAGTACGAGTCCCCATGTTTCTCTGCTCTCTTCTCTCTTTTATATCTCAAAAGAGACTGGCTTAAGACACTATCTAATCTTGTAGAGCTATCAATATAACTGCCGCTAATCCATTTTATTACATAATAGTGGTAGCATTTACAAGACGTAGGGAAATCACATCAGATGATAAAATGGTAGACAGTCATACAATAGTGAGAATCATGACTTAGCCAAGTTGACAGATATTTTTGGGGAACACAATTCAATCCATGATGGTGGCATTTACAGAGCAACGGGATTGGACAGCTAACGTATTGGTGGGCCTTGCAAATTGTCTCCCAAACCTGGTTGTAAACATAGTATGTGAGGGTATTCACCTGGGACCTCTCCAACTCTGGGTTAGTGGGGCTGCCTTTCTGTTTCAATGGTTTCTTGAGGTTAAAGATAATGTGCTGGAGCTTTACCATATCTTTTGGGGTGGGTGAGGTAGGGAGGATTCTGTAGATGAGATATTCTAATACAAATATCTTTCTGTTTTATGATGGTCACATTGTCACTCCTGATCCAGAGGTGGGGTAATTACAAAGTTCTGAGGGTAGAAAGGAAGGGGGCACTGGTGGCTTGATGAACCAAGGTTTGTCCCACCACTTCTTGAATTTGAAGCAGCTTTTACACAATAACAACAGGTTATTGTCTCAGGTAGTGTCTCCAAGTGCTGCTATAACAGAAATATCACAAGTGGATGGCTTTAACAAACAGAAATTTATTCTCTCACTGTTTAGGAGGCTAGAAGTCCAAATTCAGTGCACCAGCTCCAGGGGAAGGCTTTCTCTCTCTGTCGGCTCTGGGGGAAGGTCCTTGTCATCCATCTCCCCCTGTCTAGGAGTTTCTTGGTGCAGGGACCCCAGGTCCAAAGGCTCTTCTTTTTTTGTGGTAGGAGGTCCCTCTCCTCGCTGCTCACTTCTCTCTTTTGTATCTCAAAAGAGATTGACTCAAGAAACAACCTAATCCTGTAGATTGTGTCCTGCCTCATTAACATAACTACCTCTCGTCCTGCCTCATTAACATCATAGAGGTTAGGATTGACAACACATAGGAAAATTAGATCATAAAATGAAGGACAATCACACAATACTGGGAATCATGGACTAGCCAAGTTGCCACACAGTTTTTGGGGACACAGTTCTATCTATAACAGGTAGGTAGGGGCAGAAGGCTATGTTACAATCAAGATGTCACCCAGCTCAGTCAACAAAAGCTCATTTTTGGCAGTTACAGGTCAACCCCTTCAACCATCCCAGCACCCTTCCAAGTCAGGGCAATGGGGAGGGGAAGAAAGGTGGGACTGACAGGCTGTACTTCCCCAGGCACAGAATTCTCACTTTTAGCCCAAGGCTAATAGCTGTTGAAATTCTTTCTTTATTTTTGTTTGTTCCAAATAAACTTCAAGCAATCCTAGACTTTTTTTTTTTTGGACACTTTTAACGTCTCCTGGGTCAATGGTCCCCACGTGTCTGTCAGTTTGTCGTACTGTGGGGGCTTGTGTGTTGCTGTGATGTTAGAAGCTATGCCACTGGTACTCAGATACCAGCAGGGTCACCCATGGGGGACAGGTTTCAGCTGAGCTTCCAGACTAAGATAGACTAGGAAGAAGGACCAGGCAGTCTAATTCTGAAAAGAATTAGCCAGTGAGAACTTTATGAATAGCAGCGGAACATTGTCTGATATAGTGCCAGATGATGGGCCCCCCAGGTTGGAAGGCACTCAAAAGACTACTGGGGAAGAGCTGCCTCCTCAAAGTAGAGTCGACCTTAATGACATGGATGGAGTCAAGCTTTCGGGACCTTCATTTGCTGATGTGGCACAACTCAAATGAGAAGAAACAGCTGCAAACATTCATTAATATTCAGAAAGTGAAATGTGCGAAGTATGAATCTAGGAAAATTGGAAATCGTCAAAAATGAAATAGAATGCATAAACATCAATATCCTAGGCATTAGTGAGCTGAAATGGTCTGGCACTGGCCATTTTTGAATTGGACAATCATATGTCTACTATGCCAGGAAAGACAACTTGGAGAAGAATGGCATTGCATTTATCATCGAAAAGAACATTTCAAGATCTATCCTGAAGTACAATGTGCTCAGTGATAGGATAATAACCATATGTCTACAAGAAAGACTAGTTAATATGACTATTATTCAAATTTATGCGCCAACCACTAAGGCCACAGATGAAGAAATTGAAGATTTTTACCAGCTTCTGCAGTCTGAAATTGATCTAACATGCAATCGGGACGCATTGATAATTACTGGCGATTGGAATGTGAAAGTTGGAAACAAAGAAGAAAGATCAGTAGCTGGAAAATGTGGCCTTGGTGACAAAAATGGTGTCAGAAATCGCATGATAGAATTTTGCAAGACCAATGATTCTTCATTGCAAATACCTTTTTTCACCAATGTAAACGGTGACTATACACGTGGACCTGGCCAGATGGAATACACAGCAATCAAATCGACTACGTCTGTGGAAAGAGACGATGGAAAAGCTCAATATCATCAGTCAGAACAAGGCCAGGGGCTGACTGCAGAACAGGCCATCAATTACTCATATGCAAGTTTAAGTTGAAACTGAAGAAAATGAAAACAAGTCCGTGAGAGCCAAAGTATGACCTTCAGTATACCCCACCTGAATGTAGAGACCATCTCAAGAATAAATTTGATAAGCTGAATACTAATGGCCGAAGACCAGACAAGCTGTGGAATGACATCAAGGACATCATATGAAGAAAGGAAGAGGTCATTAAAAACACAAGAAAGAAAGAAAAGACCAAAATGGATGTCAGAAGACACTCTGAAACTTGCTCTTGAAGATTGAGTAGCTAAAGCAAAAGGAAGAAATGATGAAGTAAAAGACTGAACAGAAGATTTCAAAGGGCGGCTCGAGAAGACAAAGTAAACTATTATAACGATGTGTGCAAAGAGTTGGAGATAGCAAACCAAAAGGGATGAACACATTTGGCATTTCTCAAGCTGAAAGAACTGAAGAAAAAATTCAAGCCTCGAGTTGCAGTAGTGAAGGATTCTATGGGGAAAATATTAAATGA